GATACTTTTTCTTAATCGTAATTAACTATTTAAGCTTGAAAAATATATTTTTCATAGTAAAAAAAATATCAGTACAGATCATCTGAGGTGTCCCTGAACTAATGGCTGTCCATCCATCTATCCATCCATCTAAACCATAGAACCCTGTCAGTCGATACAAGATAGGCCAGATGTTGACACTTTGACAGCCAGCCTTTCTTCCTGTCACCTTGACATGGCAGCCATTTTGACCAGCAGATCCCCAGTTAGTTTCCTCACAAGAAAGGGCAACTAAGATCATAGACTGCATCCTGATTTCATCTTGAATATTACATACAAGATCAACTTACTGAAATATGTCTCGAGAAAAGAATACACAGCAAGTTCAGCAGCTCAAGTCCACCTGGAAACCAGTCTGTGTCCGAAAAACTCAATACTTCACCTGAAGCATTTATTGTGCAGTATAGCAGAACAGTTCTTGTACCTTGACAGTGTACAAGCCGGAGAGTGGACAAAAATCATCATGCTTTAACCATGCAAAATGTTTGCTGGTACCAGATATACATGCAGGTAAATAAACCTTTCCTCATCCATAACAAACCTGAGCTAAAAATATAGTTGATAGTACATTTCTCTCTATATAAGCATGTGTTTATGAATCACCATAAAATATCGATGATACCAGGAGTTTGGGAAAGGTGAGTGTATGCTGACCCATAGGTGGCGCTAGTCATCAATAAATCATAAGTTTCTGAAATGAAATATATATCATAAAAGAGACGAAAAAGTCTGATCATTATCAGAATCAGAAATCTTGACTCCCGATATTTAATAGACTTGAGAATTACAGGATAATTTTAGGTATATTCATCAGATCTGTATGAGGGACTAATAAGTTCTGCAGGTGAGTGTTCTGCATTGCATTTGAACTCTGCCTGCAGCTTACACATATTTCTGATTACATTTTTTGTGAATTGTAATTGGATGATATTACATAAGGTTTATTATGTAATTCAGCATCAAAGACCTCAATCTGGAGCAATAAACATGAAAGGACTGCACGTGTGCATATAGTTCTGAATAATCAAACAACATCATCAGTGACTTGGAATCAAATAAATTTAAGCCCTAAAAGGATTTAAAGAACATGATTGATGTCTTTTCATGACTTTAAACTCTATCCATAATTCACCATTGAAGTCATAATGGGTACTGAATGTTAGCAGTGTTACCAGTGCTGGAAGTCCCTCACTGCACTAACAGTCAGTCATTGCATGTATATTTCTGATGAAATATCTTACAAAGGTTTACTTTCTTTACATCTATTATTGATGATAATCTGTACAGTTATACAGCAAGACAGTTCTGTTTCGCAAATAACATTAATTCCCATTTGCCCTTCAAACACTGGGTCATATATTTACATATATGTAGATTAGCTGAATGTGTGGTTGACACGTCATTGTATCCCAATTGCGTATATCGATGTTTGTGCTGTTGATCACTGGATTTTCTGGTCCAGACTTGATTATTTACAGACTGCCGCCATATAGCTTGAATATTGCTGAGTGTGGTGTTAAACAACAACCAAACCCAAAGTATATACTGTACATGTATCCTGCACTACATTGATAAATGTAATGTGTTATATTTATACACACACAGTCGGGTATTATAATATAAGGGAGGACCTCAAATGTGTGTCACTTACTTCTTGTTGATTTGATTTTATAAAAATATGTTTTATCAAAAACGACAGAATCATGCATTTTGTTATAATGCATTTTTATGCATGAGTACATTTTATCGTTATCCTGTGTGTGTTTGAGTGTAGATCAGATAATATCAACTTGTTTGTTACTTTTTCTCAGTAGTTTTATCCTCACAGCACCATGTGACTACTGCATGTGACGTAAGTCTTCAACAAAGTGTTAAAAATGTGTTTTTCGATACTTTTGCCGCCAATCAAAATGACGTCTGCTCAGTTGAATTTTTGGATAGTGGGAATAATTGACTCCTCACAGTTACATTTCGATGTTGGTGGCTTTCGATGAGTCTCAGGGGAAATTACCCACAATTAAGACCATGTCAGTTACCGCTCAGCTAGCAGCTGATTTTATTACGGTGACAAGTCCAGATACACCCATAAAAAATAATACAACAAAAACCGAATCACACTGTCGAGGATCTGCCTGTTTCTCATACCAGTGCCGAAAAATATTTAACACAGACTCACAGTTTCATGTAAATCTGATTTTTGTGTTGTCCGTGTAAAAGGTTAGCAGAGAGTAATGATTTTACGTTTTGGGTCATGTCCCCTCCTGGGATTCCAGTGGACACATGTTTGTCATTTGGCTCATAGGGATGTCAACCCCGAACTTTTTATACAACTGCGAAAAAGATAAATTGTCCTTTGGAGAAATGATGTAATTCTTAATTCAGTTCCTGAGAAGGTTTCGCACAAGTATTACATCATTGGGTCTCTTGGTACCTTCCTTTGGACCAGTGGAGTTCCTCTCGAGATTAGTGCGAGGACAATTAGCTTTTAACTTCCTTATCTCTGCGCATCGTCGCAAGGTATTTTTTAAGTGGCAAGCATGATGGAGACTGGTGCAAAGCAATAATTTTACGGATTGTTAGTACTCTGTCATATGATAGATTGTTTTTTCCGAATTCCACATTTGTTTTTTGGGTGCTATTTTTCAAGTAAACTTTGCATATAAATGGAAGTGATACGTTAGACTGTAATGAGTGATCAATGTCTTTGTTTACTGGTTACAGCAATGAACATCATCTGAAATAAATTTGGAAATTACATTTTTGATTTATGTGATTCTTATACAAAATATTAGTTTGATTTCGGGGAACTGAAATATATCTTTAGATGAAAAGTATATCTAGAAGATGATTGAAACTATACACCTTGAAATGTTTTAAACTCAGTATTCAATATGAAGTATTTTTAGCAAATATCTGTTAGGACTAATAAAGTCAGTATCATGGCTGATGCAGTCTGTGTCGTAGCTGATGCAGTCTGTGTCGTAGCTGATGCAGTCTGTGTCGTAGCTGATGCAGTCTGTGTCGTAGCTTATGCAGTCTGTGTCATAGCTGATGCACATGCATATATGGTATTTGTCATAGCTGATGCACATGCATGTATGGTATGTCATAGCTGATGCACATGCATGTATGGTATGTGTCATAGCTGATGCACATGCATGTATGGTATGTGTCATAGCTGATGCACATGCATGTATGGTATGTCATAGCTGATGCACATGCATGTATGGTATGTGTCATAGCTGATGCACATGCATGTATGGTATGTGTCATAGCTGATGCACATGCATGTATGGTATGTGTCATAGCTGATGCACATGCATGCATGGTATGTGTCATAGCTGATGCACATGCATGCATGGTATGTGTCATAGCTGATGAACATGCATGTATGGTATGTGTCATAGCTGATGCACATGCATGCATGGTATGTGTCAAGGCTGATATTTATTTTTCTATTTTGGCTCAGTGTAATGTTTCTCCAGTCTACTTTCCTTTTCTTTTATAGAAAGGTAAAAATTGGCAAGCTAAGCTTGAGTTTTGCCCCATGGGTTGAAATCTTGAAAGATGGACAGTTCTAAAGTTGAGTTTTGTTTCCAGCCTCCAACTTTTCTCCTCATGTCAGGGGGTTAAAACCACAAAACACTTCAATCTCTCAATTCTTGTCTCCACTTTCCACATAAAGAATTCCAGTTACATTTTTTAATTGTTGGTTCATCAAAGACTTAGAAATACAAGGCTGGCTTCTCCTGAAATGCAGATTTATGTGTATTCAAACAGATTTTCATTTCAAGTTGTCATGACCAAAATATTTACCCATCGTTGCAGAGATGAGATGACAGGGGTGTAGGTTCATGTTTCCTTGTAAGTGTTGTAAACATTCCTGGTTCTGTGCAGGGTTTCAGGCAAACATGAAGATTGAATACTTGTAGTCATAGTTATACTCCAGTTAAACATTATGATTCCTTAATACAAGGATTGCCATACACCTATTGTGCATGTATACAGTGTAGTACTGTAACATTCATATGTAATCTGCATCAGTAACCATGGTAACTGTTAGCTGAAAATAAATTATTGAGTAAGTGCATTCTTTCTAATATTCATCACACTGAAAGTGAATATTGACACATTTTAAAAAATATTTGACAATTTGTCAAAATTTCAGTATTCATTAGTGAGAATTTTTGTTACAAATGATGATCCTTGAAAAAAATAATGAATGAAAAGGTTTTTATGTCCGCTTAGAATGACAAGTAAAACGATATGATATTCAGGTTTGATATTATGGAAACTACATAGTTTTACTACAAAACTTCCACATGTAAGTGTCTTGCCCTTCAGACAGTTCCAGGACATGATGAAGCTGAACCCCATCAGTATATTTAGGTCGTGCATGTAATTCTACGCTTCAAGTGTCCTGGATTCCTGAATAGATCATCAGTGCTCCCTGCCTGTCTCAGCATCTCCATAGAGTGGATGACATATACCCACTGCTTATCTCCTTATGGGGATTCCAGCGCAAGGAGCTCTCCACGACCTACTGATTGTTTTCCAGTGGGGATTTGATGCAGGGCAGAACAGGTCCCCAGTAACTCTTGTTGTCTTGAAGAATAGATCGCTAATACGCAACTATCCCTCCACTTCCCCTTGCTTGCCCAACTACAGTCCCAACTTGTATCATCTAATGCCCACCATCGTCCCTGATAACTTGTGTTTGTATTAAACAATAAACCACTAATACCCAGTCCATCCACTGTCACCCACCAGTCCTTCCTTTGTTCGAGTTCCACCCAACCACCATCCTCCGCACACCATCCATGTCCCATACACCCATCATCCATGTCCCACACCCACTAACCGCTGTCCCACACCCACCATCTGCTGTCTCACACCCACTAACCGCTGTCCCACACCCACCATCCGCTGTTCCACACCCACCATGTGCTGTACCACACCCACTAACCGCTGTCCCACACCCACCACCCACTGTCCCACACCCACCATCTGCTGTCCCACACCCACCCAACCTGCTGTCCCACACCATCTGCTGTCTCACCACCCGCTGTCCCACACCCACCATCCTGCTGTCCCACACCCACCATCTGCTGTCCCACACCCACCAACCGCTGTCCCACACCCACCATCCGCTGTTCCACACCCACCATCTGCTGTCCCACACCCACTAACCGCTGTCCCACACCCACCATCTGCTGTCTCACACCCACTAACCGCTGTCCCACACCCACCATCCGCTGTTCCACACCCACCATCTGCTGTCCCACACCCACTAACCGCTGTCCCACACCCACCACCCACTGTCCCACACCCACCATCTGCTGTCCCACACCCACTAACCGCTGTCCCACACCCACCATCCGCTGTCCCACATGCACCAACCGCTGTCCCACACCCACCATCTGCTGTCCCACACCCACTAACCGCTGTCCCACACCCACTAACCGCTGTCCCACACCCACCATCTGCTGTCCCACACCCACCATCTGCTGTCCCACACCCACTAACCGCTGTCCCACACCCACTAACCGCTGTCCCACACATTCACCACCCACTGTCCCACACGCACCATCTGCTGTCCCACACATTCCATCCGCTGTCCCACACCCACCATCTCGCTGTCAACCCACCATCCGCTTTTTCACACCCACTATCTCGCTGTCCGACACCCACCATCTTGCTGTCCCACACGTACCATCCACTGTCCCACACGCACCATCCGCTGTCCCACACCCACCATCTCGCTGTCAACCCACCATCTGCTTTTTCACACCCACCATCTGCTGTTTCACACCCACCATCTGCTGTCCCACACCCACTATATCCGCTGTCCAACAACCACTATACCACTATCTCGCTGTCCCACACCCACCATCCGCTGTCCCACACCCACCTTCCGCTGTTTCACACCCACAATCTCGCTGTCCCACACCCACTATCCGCTGTTTCACACCCATCATCTCGCTGTCCCACACCTACCATCTACTGTCCCACACCCACCATCCGCTGTCCCACACCCACCATCTCACTGACCCACCATCCGCTGTCCCACACCCACCATCTCACTGACCCACACCCACCATCCTGGCTGTTCCACACCCACCTTCCGCTGTTTCACACCCAAAATCTCGCTGTCCCACACCCACTATCCGGCTGTTTCACACCCATCATCTCTCGGCTGTCCCACACCTACCATCTACTGTCCCACACCCACCATCCGCTGTCCCACACCCACCATCTCACTGACCCACCATCCGCTGTCCCACACCCACCATCTCGCTGTCCCACACCCACCATCTCGCTGTCCCACACCCACCATCCACTGTCCCACACCCACCAACCACTGTCCCACACCCACCATCCACTGTCCCACACCCACCATCTGCTGTCCCACACCCACCAACCGCTGTCCCACACCCACCATCTCGCTGTTTCACACCCAACATCCGCTGTTCCACACCCACCATGTCGCTGTTCCAATGCCACCGATAGCTGTCCCACACCCACCATCATCCACTCATTGATCTTCAGAAAGACGCTCCTTTGCGAGTTGTACCAAGTCTGATTTCACTGAATAGGTCATGAAAGGTTGTGGGTACAAAACCCAGCTCTTGAGAAAACATGTGATGGAACGATTTTGTTTGTTATTAGCAATATTTGCCATAAAGAGAACTTAATTACTTCCTCGAGACAAATATTAAGACCAATATCTCACAGGATTGTAGAAACTGATGCCGTGCTTTATTCAAAGTGCTACAAGTCAGCCAGCCAAGGAAGCAATGTTTGATTGAATACTTACTGTGTTGCAATGTTAACCTTCTTCAGTCGAGATGATGATAAAGCACATTTTGATTCAATCTTGATGTGCCTTTTCTGTAGAAGGTCAAAAAAGGTGTTTTGTATGAATATCATTTTAGAAACTTGTACATTTTTTGTAATATCTAAAACTCATAGAACAAATGAAAATATTCTGTATTATGAAGGTTGCCCTTATTAATTATTTTAGATAAAATATTTATAATAATTATAAATTAATGAAAAAAAATAATGCATTGTAATTTTTCTCAGTAAATTCATATTTTTTTCTGATGCAAATAACTATATGAACCCCTTTTGGGTCATGAGGAAACTTCAGTTCTGTGATAGCCCTTATTATGTTTCCTGGTTTGTCTGCTCCAGGGTGTGTGGGTTTCACCAAATACTTCGGGTGTTCCTCCAACATTAAGTCAGGCTATGACTGGAATAAAGTTCTCACTGGTGTCAAACCAGACTTACTGAAACCCATCTACTAAACGTTCCTTCAGGAGAATCTTTAGGGAACTTTGAATCCTGAATGTAAATATACAGTGCTTGAGTCATTCAAACATCAGATGGTGCTTTCTTTTGGTGTAGATGCTATGGCTCCCCAAAATGAAATGGTGTATGAAATATTCACAATATCACCACATGGCTGTGGTTTTTGTGCTATAATTGTTCTAGGCATGTTCACACAAAGTAAGCATGCAATACTGAAGAGTCATGGACAAAAGTTTATTTTTGTAAATATTTCAAGGTCTGATCTCTGAAGCTACAAGTTAACACATTATCTAAACACTATCTTTATAATCTTTGATAATACTCACGGTAAGTTTTGTTTGTTTGGAGAAATAATAAAATTAACACTGTGAAAGTGTGTTACAAGTAAGGAAGAATGTCATGGTCATGCTTGGTGAGGATCACAGGGAATTATTGGGTTGAAGGGTTTGAAGAAATAAAAAAGTTTAAGTTAAGTTTGAGAAAAAAAGCATTCAGTTGAAATAGTCCTATTCAAAAGGAATTGGAAGCAGGGAAGGGTGTTTTGATAAGTCTTGACTGAAAAATATTTACAAATGTTTTTCTTCAAGTATGATCTCATGGCAGGATATGTCTAAGAAATCATATTCAAAAGAGACAGGGAGGTCAAATGTCATATCTGATTTCTACTGAGAGAGACTGGATGAAATGAGACATAAAGTGACATGACACAGGCCACATAATATGATATTGGCAAGGTCAAATGAGATGGACCATGTAAGATGAGACTGCCAAGGTCGAATGATGCAGGCCAGGTAAAATGAGACTGGCAAGATCAAATGAGATGGACCAGGTCAAATGAAATTACCAAGATCAAATAGTGAAGACTGTAATGCTGCTAAGGTGATTGTAACTCCCTGACCTTAAGATAGGCGGAAGACAGCCTTAGCTCTGAGAATGTTTTGTATAATGGTATCATGGTCCATTCCAAAAGATAAATCAGACGGCCGTAACTCTCTTTCTTATGAAACATTGATTGTCACCAACCTTCTGAAATTAGGCAGCACTCATGAGTCAAGGGATTCTTGCATCTGATAGCAACATGAATCTAGGGGACCATATTGTTCAGAAACAGAGTATCATTTGTTTCTTCCAGAGATCCAATACCTAGACTTCTGACAGTCTGGAGCTAGGGAGGTCATGTTGTGAACTGGTCTTGTGGAATGGTTCTGGTCATATTGATGATTGCAGTTGCCAGGCCGTTGCAGAATGACTGGTCATTCTGTCCATATCAGTGATACTCCATTCTGGTGGAGCTGAAGACGGAACATTTCTGTCCATATCAGTGATACTCCATTCTGGTGGAGCTGAAGACGGAACATTTCTGTCCATATCAGTGATACTCCATTCTGGTGGAGCTGAAGCCGGAACATTTCTGTCCATATCAGTGATACTCCATTCTGGTGGAGCTGAAGACGGAACATTTCTGTCCATATCAGTGATACTCCATTCTGGTGGAGCTGAAGACCAAACTGATACAAAACCTCTGATTATCAGAATTTTGATTACTTTAAATCTGAATGATTTTGATAACTGTAGTCCCTCTCTACTTGTTCACAAATAGTAAATACAAACTCACAAACATGGCACTGTCTACCCTGTAAGTTAATATATATTTTTTTCAATATGAAAAATAATGTTTTCAAACAGTCTGTTCTTTCCAGAGTTAACATGCTTGCAAGTAATGTGTTTGCATTTGGAAAAGTCCTACATGTATGCAAGTATGGCATGCATCCTATTCTGCCCCTTTTTATGGTAAAATTAAGTATAATATTCATATTAATACATGCTGTCTCATAACTTGTTGTACTCTTTTGTCACTTCTCTCAGATGGATGTAGAAGTTGTTCATAGTATAGAGGTTGTGTTATGGTGAGAACATTATATCTCAGCCATTATGTACAATACCCATGAAGATCCGGGTTAGAATTGGTCTTCAGCAACCCATGCTTGTAGTAAGAGGCAACTAACGGGATCGGGTGGTCAGGCTTGATGACTTGGTTGACACATGGCATTGTTCCCCATTTGTGTAGATTGATGCTCATGCTGTTGATCAGTGGATTGTTTGGTCCAGACTCGATTATTTGGAGTATTGTTGAGTGTGGTGTTCAACAACAAACCAACGAACCATTACGTACAAATGGCAATCATATAGAGCTCTGATGGAACTACTCATATCTCAAACCTATTCTCTTCATCCTCACTGTATCCACATACATTTGACAACTTATCTCCAATTTGAGATAAAATACACATAACTATCGAAAACATTGAACCCAATTTCCACTTAAAATGTTTATTGTAGAATTTATACCTTTATTGAAAATTTTTAATTAGTCCTGTTAACAGTTTAACTGTAATTATTGCCTTACCGCCATCTTGCTGTGAAGTACAGTGCAAATTGAACAAATGACTCAACTGTTTCGGTACTTGCCTCTAATCAAGTTGTAAATGGTATTCTTTATTGACAAGTAAAACCCCAGTAGACATGAGTGAAAACATGGCAGCACTACCTGGTTGCATCAAAAAGTGGGATTCGATTTCGGATTAAGCCATGTGATTGTGCTCACAGTATTTAACAGTGAATTAACAACATTGAGCCAGAAGTGACACTTCATAAAGTAGACAGACTAAATATAAACTTTAATGTATATAAACGACTTAGGACATATTAAAATCACAGATTTACAATAAGTCAGAGAAAGGTGATTGTCTTAAATGCATAAGAGCATTGATTGTTTGGTTAATCTTACACATCAATGCATGTAATCTGTACATAATTTGTCACAACTGTTATGGAAGATTTGTCTGTGAAATATGTTTTCATGTGTCATTGCATACAAGTGTTGTGTTCTTAATTTCTCATTTGAAGTCATACTGCCATTGATCTGTAATACTGTTACCTAATTTGTCTGGCTGTCCATAGCGTCTCCAGTGGCCAGAGGTCTCAAACTCAACACCATCCTTTGACATCTGTGTTACCTGGATTGTACAGTTTGTCATTAACATATTGCTTCTTGGAAGGGACACTGGTTTTAGGTAGCGGGTTCAAAAGATCAGTTGTTAAAAGGTTTGTGCAATAGTGGATATGTCAGAAATACATCAACAAAACCTAAAACTGGAAATTAGGACTGTGATAAAAATATTCGAATATATATTAGCTATTGGCTTTGTACTTGTTCCTGATGTGGATGTGAAGCTTGGGGTGGGGATAATGACTTCTCGTAATGACACTTGATACAGTCTGTCTTGTGTCTGGGTTAATGCAGACAATTGACCGTTTTAAGGCAATTGTCTTGGAGATTGTCTTTACTGTCTGTTATATTTATTCTCTGAGATATCCTCTGTTACCGTGGTAGTGTTAGTTGTAAAGGTTGGTCTGTATTTCAATACACATACAGGCTTGCACAAGGTTATTTGCCCAGACGTAGTTAATTTTAAAGTTGCAAGAATTTTTTGCTCTTTAATTAGCTTGGGCTTGTCGAAATGAAACCTGAATAATTTGTAACATTAAATGTTTATTATATTTGTCACCCATTTGTTCATGATGATCAGTTCTAGGGGAAAACAAAGTCATATTATGTTTAGAATGCACAGTGTTTAACATCATTAAATATATGTGAAACATGGTTTTACTCCTGTGAGAGAAAGCTATAAGATATCTTTCTGTCTGAGCCTTGTACTGGCCCAAACCTCTGTACAATGTGTTTGATTACATATTCATGTTGTTAAAACTTAATTTTTGTACTTGTAACTTTATATTAATAATCAGTCAAAACAGATGAAACAATATTAAATTGTTTGTGTCTATTAGTTGACACACAACCCACCATCCCCTTAAAAAATAAGAAATAAATGAATACACAGCAAATATGTTGTCTAAGATCAACAACCCTTATTAAGTGGCCTTAGTTTGTTTGCTGTTTAACCCTTTCAACACCGCAGGCCGCTTAAGCGGCCACAACGTACGTTATGAGTCCCCAGACACCGGAGGCCGATTAAGCGGCCAGGCAGTAGTCACGTCAAAATGAGACATAATTTTAGGAACCTACCTGACTTATGATTCATATATTAAATCTATCACATTTCACAATGTCTGAAAACACTTATTAAATTTCAATTTATCATATATTATC